CGAGTAAAGCCCGTGATGGGGCTTTACTCGCCCGGCAGGATGCAATCCTCAAGTAAAGCCCCTGTGAGCCATCAGCAAATGCAATATCGCCGTATTTCATTAGACAATTGATGGTCTCTAAACAATGCGTTCTGATGAAGTGGTAGAAATATGAAACAGGATTCTGCGTTTGCCATTTGCTGCCACCTCTTTGTAGTTGGAGAACCATTTCTTGAATCGAGTGCGAGGTTTCCAGTAATTTGCAGTCCTGAGATGCGATACCAGATACTACAGTCGTGTCGTTAGTAACTTGTAAACTAATTTGAAAGAACGCCCACGTACATACTGTGCGGGTAATTTTAAAACAGTAAGTAGCTGGGACGTGAACGAGTCTTTTCTGATATATCTTGACCATTATCGCTTTCCAGTTCGATCCTGGATCAACACTGCAGTTGCGGAACTGTGGCCCTCTCACGTAAACCCTTTTGTGCATATAGGGACAAAATTGTACTTGCGACGCTATGGCTTTCACGCTGGCCATTACATGACAAAAAATCGTAAGTGAAAGCAAAAGAAATTTTGGAAACGTTTGCCTTTGAGGACTTCGTGTTGCATTATAAATGACTGCTTCTTTCACACTTGGATCCTTTTCTTCGTCTGATTGGTCTGATTTTTCAAAGTTTGGATCGGCGACGCGAGGATGTTGCACAGAATCGCATCCACTATCGTCCTTTACCTCAAGTAGAAGAAGATGATTGAGTGGTTGAGTATGTGTTTTCTGATTAATCAAAATTATTTTAGCGCTTTCTATTTTGCCATCTGGCGCTTTTTCACGCGAACGAGTTTCCATAGGCCTTTTGGTTTGTGTTTTTTGTGAAGTATGACAATTTCACTTATTTGAGGGTTTCGCCTTACTTCTCCGTGTGGGCCCCGATCCATTGTTTGAGTACGCTTTTCGAGGAACTGTAAGTAGGATTGTGATCACAAGCTCCAAAAGGAGTTTAAGCATCGCTGGGACTTCTTCCATTATTGAATTAAGATTCCTCTAGAGATAGGTTGTAGAGCTAGTTTCTCTTTACATGCATCTGTGGCTCCTGAGTCGCATCTAAGACTCACTTTGAAATTTAAGAAATTGATTGGCCCGATGATAGTTATTTAGTCACTGTCTTTGTATGTGACAGGTCGTTTATTGATAACAGTTTCGACCTCGTGAAGAAGTGTGACAAAGTCAGTTTTATTAAGGAGCTGTTTACCGATTGCTTTTCTGAGCGTCATTTTTGTCAATTCAATAAGGCGTTCATAAACCCCTCCTTTCCAGGATGCCTTCTGTGTTATGAACTTCCAGTGGATTCCTTGTGTTGCTAACTTTTTGAAGACGTCTTGAAATACCTTAGCAGTGAGTTTCAAGTTTGTCGCGTTGTCGCTGATGATGGTTTTCGGTTTGCCTCTTCGTGCTACGAATCTACAAAAGGAATGGAGAAAACTTTGCGCTGATGAATGTGTAGCTGCTTCTAGATGAATTGCTC